TATTTATACTGAACAAAACTGCAGCTTGCTCCTTGCTTACAAACCAGAGGCTTCCTGGAAGGAAGTGGTTGGCCAATGCTGTTAAAAACAACAACACAACACCAACAAAACAAAAGCAGATTAGATGTACTCTTGGTCTGACCCGTGATTCCTTTTCTTTAAAAGGATCCAATTTTGGGGCAAGTTATACATCCATTACATTTTAAAACTTCTTAACTGACCATCTTAAATGGCAGATTAAGTTTTTAAAGTCTCCCTTTGCTGAAATTCGAAGGATGGGGAAAATACACACCCCTCCGGCAACGCTCCCTCTAAGATGTGGAGTCTTGTGAACCAAAATTCTACTTTGTGAGCTCCTGGCATTAAAGTTGTGAGCGAGCGATTTGGCTACTGTATAAATTAGTTTGCTCTGGAGCCCTCCTTCCGGAGTGAAGACAAAGATGTGTGAGCCGGAGGCTAAAAAACTGTGAGCTAGCTCACACTAACTCAGCTTAGAGGGAATACTGCCCTCCGGGTATTTCTATCAAGAGTTCCTACAGGCTTTAAAACAGGTTGAACGTGAAGGACCTTACTTCTTAACAGAATTTTAAAAAAACTGTTAGAAAGGAAAAATGTACAAGTCACTGCTCTATATCAAGATGGGTATCTGTGTTAGTCTGTCTGTAGCAGCGGAAAAGAGCAAGAGTCCAGCAGCACCTGAATAACTAACACAATCTGTGGCAGGGGAGGAGCTTTCGTGAGTCCCCGCGCACTTCTTCAGATAGTGAGCAGTGACTCACAAAAGCTCATACCCCGCCATAAATTTTATTCGTCTTTAAGGTGACACACTACAAGTTTCCTATCAGTGAACAAAGCTACATGTTAAGATACGTTCACTGTAGGGTCACTTGGGTGACCCAATTAAAACACAAAAAACGCTGCGCCCGCTGCAAGTTCAATCATGAACATGTGCGAGTCCACATTTAAACTTGGTCAGACATGTTGTTCAGGAAAAAATGCGTCTTGACATTTTTGTTGGAAGACAACTTTGTCTCCAGAATGTGAAGAGAAATAAAGGATTCATTGTGAAGCCCTGGAAATTTTCTGTTTCATGAAATAAAGATGAGATCTATTCAAAAGCAGAGATAGCACAGGCTCCCAAATGAAAAGAACTTCGGATCCTCCTGCAAACAAGAGCTTCCTTTCAAAGGCATTTCTCAACAAGCAGCACCTGTTAAGAGCATTGCGCCTTCTTTCGTCTGCCGTTTGTGCAAAGACCCGCATAAATATACATATCAAATGATGGCCATCGATCTAGTGCCAACATTGTGCATTATACTGTGCAATCCTGAATAGAGAACCACCTAATAACCCCGTGGGCGCTCTAGAACCAGAGTGTTCTTGCACACCGCAGCACTGTAAGCAAGACTTAAAGAGAGCAATAGTGAGCAGGTCTACTCAGAAGTCAGCCCCATTTTATTCAATGGGGTTTACCGTTGGAACTGGGTTGTTACTTCACTAATGGAATCATCATATTTAATTGGAATGGGATCTCTTTGGACAGGTCACAGTAACAGAGTCATAGGTAGCCTTCAAAATGATTTGGGAAGACCGTGAATCCAAAGGCAGAGATGAAAAGTGCCAAGAGCTTAATAATGAGTAAGTCGCTCCACCTCCCGTCTGACAGAGGTCTCTAACATTGCCTGGTTTTGTTTAAGTTCGTTTAACCCTCATCCATATATTTACTGAATAACAACAATCAGTCCCTCTTCGAATCCCATGCATAAGCACAGTGGCTAAAAGCACAAACTAGATTTCCCAACCTCCTCACTCAACTAGGCCCCGAATATACCAGGTGGCTTTCCAGAAGCCAGTCTCTCCCTCTCAGCAATGCCTCCCTACCCCCTAATTTCAAGGATAATGATGGGCTTACGGGATTCCTTTAACACGTGGAATTCACTGCCACATAAAGTGGTGGCAGCTACAGACATAGACACTTCAAGGGGACTGGATCAACAAATGGAGCAGAGGTCCATCAGTGGCTATTAGCCTCAAGGTATAGATCAGGGGTGGCCAAACTGCAGCTCGGGAGCCGCATTCCGCTCTTTCACACAGTCTAATTTAATGTTAATACAAAGCAAATTTGCATATTTTTCAATAAAAATGCGTGCGTAATATTTGTTCATGTCTTGCGGCTCGCAAACATCTGACGTTTATTCTGTGCGGCTGTTACGTTAACTAAGTATGGCCACCCCTGGTATAGATGGAACGCTTGTTCTGGGGCACTAACGCTCTTTTTTTTTGGGGCAGGGGGGGGGGGGGCAACAGTGGGAGGGCTTCTGGAGTTCTGGCCTTGCTGGTGGACCTCCTGATGGCCCCTGGGTTTTGGTCACCATGACACAGTGTTGGACTGGATGGGCCACTAGCCTGACCCAACATGTCTTCTCCTATGTTCTTATGAGTGGATTGGATAAACAGATGGAGCACAGGTCTATCCAGGGCTACTAGCCACAAGGTACAAATGGAAGATGCTCTCTGGGGCAGTGATGCTTCATATTCTTAGTTCTTAGGGGGACCACAGTGGGAGGGCTTCTGGAGTTCTGGTCCTGGTGATGGACCTCCGGGACAGCCCCTGGGTTTTGGCCACTGCATGACACAGAGTGTTGGACTGGATGGGCCATTGGCCTGATCCAACATTGACTTCTCTTATTCCTATGTCTGGGGTAGTGATGCTCTGTATCGTGGTGGCTTGGGGGGCAAGAGTGGGAGGGCTTCTGAACTTCTGGCCCTGCTGGTGGACCTCCTGATGGCACCTGGTATTTTTGGCCAATGTGGAACACAGTGTTGGACTGGAGTGGCCACTGGCCTGATCCAACTTGGCTTCTCTTGTGCTCTTAAAGGCAAGAAGAACTTCACACACAGCAAGAAAACTCTCTATACCTGATCTGAGTCCAGTAGCTGTTCAGCCGTAGACCAACATGGCTACCCTCTGAAAGTGTATATATCTGAATACTTCTAACACTGGCTAAACTACGGACACCCATCCTAGCAACAGGGCCCGTCGGGGCAGCAGGCTACAA